TGCTAAATAAAATTACTAGGTCATACTGAAGGTCAGCTAAAGAGAAAGGTTCACTCTCTGCTATGAGTACCTATAGCCAGAAAAACCCCAGTGTGTCACTACATTAATTAGAGTATGTCTGCTCTGAGACGCAACACTGTATGTACATCTCTTGTGGAAGGCGGTATGGATCATTTGGAACTTGCTTTAGTTAATTTTTGGAAATTGGGTGGATTAAAACATGTCAAAATGAATGTAGTATGAAGATCTTAATCTGGGGCCTCTCCTCGTAGTAATGAAACTGTTTATTATTTTCAGAATTTGGGGTGGGTTGGTTGTTTTTTAAGAATTAGCAACTTTCATAGGTGGCCAACAAATTATTTCCCTCGGTCTAATTAGATGTGAAACCCTTACTGAATATAATTTTAAATGGACTTGTGACCTATTGAAAACATCATCTACTTATTGGACCAACTCTTACTTTAGACGAATTATGTATGTACTAGATCCTTTGTATTCTTACTGATGACGGCATTTCCAATGGATAGGGTGCACAGCATATAGATAGTGTTGACACAACTGAGTGCTTCTGAGTTAGTAGATGAAATCCTACCCTATCTGAAGTCAATAACTTTTTTTTTTAATTACTTTGAAGGGTCAAAATTTTATCCTAGGTTTATTTATTTTTCATTTTGTCTATGAATAACATTTCTCTAATTTTGTAATTCTGTTTTTTTAATCTTTATTTAAGCAGGTTTTTTTCACTATGCAGTATGTCAATCAGTATTTTAAATTTAACAGTGACATCTTCAAAATAGAAGGTTGAAATTGCTTGGGTAATTATGGTTTTTTTCCTGGTTTTGCTTTAAGTATAGACCTATTTCTCCTCCCTCCCCTCCCCCCCTTCCTCACTGTTTAATAGATGCAATTGATATTCAGGTTCTGTAGGTAGACTTGTTCAGAGTTCAAGTCTTGTATTGACCAGTTTGGCTGCTTCTTTTTAATAGCTTCATACATATAATGAAAATACATTAAAGAATGCTATTGTAGATAGGAGATGTCTCAGACATCTTCCAAAGCAATGAAAAAACCCTTGCACCTGATGTAGAATTTATTAACGAAGGGAGCCTGAATAAATAAACATAAAAAATAAACATATTTCCTAAATAAACATAAAAAAAGTTACATATGCAAAAATTAAGTGAAAGGCACAATAGTTACCAAGACAAGCACTCATAATTTTGTGAAAGGTGGAATTATTGATAGTCTTTTCCTTTTGCCCTTTCCCCTTGCCTCATTGCAGCTTTCCAGTATCTGAAGGGGGCCTACAAGGGTGCTGGGAGAGGACTTTTTACAAGAGCCTGTAGTGATAGGACAAGGGGTAACGGGTACAAATTGAAATCAGGGAGGTTTAGATTAGATATCAGGAGAAATTCTTCACAGAGAGGGTGGTGAGGCACTGGAACAGGTTGCCCAGAGATGGTGTGGATGCCCCATCCCTGGATGTCTTCAAGGCCAGGCTGGATGTGGCTTTGAGCAACCTGGTCTAGTGCAAGGTGTCCCTGCCCATGGCAGGGGGGTTGGAACTAGATGATCTTTAAGGTCCCTTCCAACCCTAACCATGCTATGATTCTATGATTCTATGTTCTTAGTTGCTCCCATTCTCTGCCTTGACAGGTTTAAGATTCAAGCTTTCATTTCTTTAATCGCTGTGTCACAGCAATTAACTCT